TGCTGGTGTTTCGCTCTCTACGCAGCTGGCTGAGGTTGGCTCGCGTGAGGACGCTGCCCGTCTCATTAGCACTGCCATCGCCGCTAAGTTGGCTGACATTTTCATGATCGACGTTGCTGAGATTGATATTAGCAAGACGCCAGCCAGCTACGGTGTTGACTCACTCATCGCTGTCGAGCTGCGCAACATGCTGGTGCTGCAGGCCGCTGCCGATGTCTCCATCTTCAATATCCTGCAGAGCGCTTCCCTCGCTGCTCTTGCTGCTGATGTGGCAGCAAAGAGCCGCCACGTTGAAGCCGCTGCTTAGGCTTGGTCGTTTGCTTCATTGTATTTTGTTTCAACTTAGGAGTTATAAAGGTTACGGCGTCGGGTTTTGAATCATCAAAGGTTATACTTAGCAAACGACAGTCTCCTTGGCATCGAAATGAAAGGGAGTCTTTAAAACCCGGGCCCCGAAACACCATTCCTTAGTGTAGTCTGTCTTGAGCGGCAATGTTCCCCACTGCTGTCAGCATATGGCCCCGCTACCCATGGGATGCGATGCCATAGACCCAAGCTATAACTGGCTTTTGAGGGAAAATACAGGAAGTTCAGCCAGGAGGCAATGGTTAAATACTCTATAGGAATATAAACTTCTGTGAGAGGGACTATTTCTGCCCGCGGTCAGAAATTGGCCCTATTGCCTTAAAGTTCTCTTCACACTTTTATAATATAAATATCACCTTATAAACGTCCACAAGATTACTATATAGAAATTTGAATTAGGCTATTTATAGCATATCTACCTAGTGTTTCGACCCAGTGATCTATTGCAGTTAGGTAACTTAAGTATGCTAGAAATCTTCATCCTTAGGCTCTTTTAAGAACTAGGACCTCAATGCTAACGATTCTAGTTTCATGGATAAAGAATATGTTTTGCCTATAGAATTCCAGAGTTACCATGCCACGATATATATAGCACGTTGCCGCCGTGATCTGAATGAATTTTGTTGAGATATACGATGTCAAGGGATAGAAGAAGATTGAAGCACGTAAACAGTCCATTCCAGAGAGGTGTTTAAGTCTCTGGTCTCTTTCTCATTGAGAAAGAGACCCTATTTAAATGGGAGGATTTCCCCTGAACTATACTCTTTTTGAGGAAGGATTCACGCTGACTGATTCATGCCTGATATATCTGGTATACACCATCTAACTATTCTTGCAGGAATCTCAACAAATTTACTAAATAGTCCTAAGTCACCATACCTGAATGTGATGACACATTTCTATACGATTCAATCCTTGAAATACCGCTTAGCCAGATAACGAGTAGAGCGTTTCAGAATAGGGTTCTAGACACACCATACGCAAGGATCCACAGAGACAGTCTTAGACCGAGTCATGTCCTCCTATACTTCAACGATCAAGTCGTTGATATTCGGGCGCCACCCCGTATTCGCCAACCCGCAAGGCCTCCATCAGACCAAGCTCTTCTGGTTGCTATGGACGAAACACGCAGAGCTATTAAACTGTCGGAATGAAACGTACTGCCAGGAATTGCGACTGCATTTGGTGAAGGCTCGGTTGCCCAGAATTCCCTGTTCAGCGACACCGTCTCATCCTACAAAAAGACCTGAAGCATGGGTTTTCGTGTGCTTATCTTGGCCCTCGCAAGTGGAGAAAAGAAAATCCATCGAGGTTAAGTCGGTAGATGCAAAATGGGATATGGCTCCGGGGAACGGAAAGCGGCTTTCGAAACAGGGAGGGCTAGTAGAGAGCCTCCTGATAGGCAACTGGCGCAGTTCTTAATAGCCACCCACCCAACTACTAACTCACCGGCGTGCGGCTTAAGTACGGCTGAGCGGACGGGAAGCCCAGTTTACCATACCCTGTGGTCGTATGTACCAGAATTAGCATTCAAATGAATATATCTGCAAAGTCCAGCATGCGAGTTTCTAAGCGTGACCTGAAGTGGAGTTAGCCAAATTCACATCTACGCCAATTGTTTGTAAGACCTTGAATTCATAGGTATCTATGGGGTGGTAAAGAGCAAATAAGAATCTAAATAATTCATTGAATCTGAGAGTTTTAGAGGCAGTTCCAAGCAGAGATCGACGTAAACTACAGAAAAACTAGTTCTTCTACCATTGCCAGCTTGAAGTGTCGCCATTCCATCCAGACTCAAAGAGTCGCTCATGCCGAGGAAGCCTCACGAGATCATAAGATAGACACGCATCAGAGCCTCGGTTCTTTCATGGTCGTTTTCGGTGCATGATAGCTTTTTTGAGGCAAAGGAAGTGGAAAAAAACAAAACCAAAAAAAAAAAAAAAAAAGATCAAACTGGTGAGCTCGGAGAGAGGTTTTTAAAGAGAGGGATGAGCCTTCCAAGGTTGTGTCTTATGCTTTCCCCTTTAGACGCCAAGTCGGGGAAGCTGAAAGTTTCTGGGTGACCGCAGACTTGTTGAAAACAACTTTGAAGTCCGCAATAGTGGCCCCATTTCCAATCCAACAAAACACCCACCAATCACTGCTAGAGTCGCTTTCTGATCTGAATCTTGGTGCCTGGCGGACGACAAGCTCGGCATCGCATCTATCAGAATCAGGGCACAGAGCAATCAACGCAGTATGTTGCTATGTGGGGAGACGGAGAGAGAATGAAACAAAGAGGGAATGGAGTGAGAGCAAGCTTCGCTCTACAGGTTGCAGTCTGACCTACGGAATCGGGGCATCTCAGCAGCAGCAAAGTCCGTGGGAAAACTTGCCCCCTGGCTCGGCTTCAGCGCAGACGTGGTAAACACCTTCCTCGCACAGCTGGAATCTGGCCCCAGTTTCATATTTGCAAGCACCACCAAGACTTGATCTCCCGAATACTGAGCATGTACAAGTCGGCGACGAAACTGGCGTCCAGGGCCGGTTCTAAGACCGTATCAGTCAGGTCTTGGGCTTGATCGCTTGACAAGAATCATTGAACTTCAAATTTAAAGACGCCAAGTGCGCCGAGGCCCCCGACTTTATCGTCATGAATACTTCTGGTACTACGAGCATATCGACAGTAAATGGGGATATACTTGAGCCTACAGCGAGACAAGAAGCAGACAGAAACCATCGATGCCCTAGACTCCTTGAGAGAGAAGCGAGAGAGGGGAGCTGGCAACCTATCTACACCCCAGGCTAGGGCGAACCACTCCCCACAAAAAAGGCCCCTTGGGCACTGCAGCACCATCCAGGTCTGGCAAATAAAGTCAATGATAATTCCGAGGAATAAGAGGAGATACGCTGGTTATTGGGTATGTCTGATCGGCAAAACCCAATACTCGATAAAAACTTACCCATGAAATTTCAGGCCAAATTACCGACTGTATGCTAGACCGTAAGGTCAAGTATGGCATAAGTTCTACTTATGAGATATTATCTCTCCGTCAAACAATAGTTAGACAAAAATGGGGGCTCAAATACTCGGCCATCATTCGCCACACTAATATGTTCACCCACACATCGGTCCGTTTGCGGCAGTGTTTTTTCGACGTAGCACTGACATCGCTGATGAACCCCGAGTGGGACTCCGTTCCCAAGCGTGGACGGAGAGTGAAGGGGAAAAAAGTCTGTTCGTTAACATGGCTGTGCGCACTTTTTTTAAAAAAAAAATCCTTGGTTCGAATATTCATATGGAGCGTGTTAGGAAATGAAGATGAATGTTCGATATAGAATCACAAACGCTCTAGAGAAACCTCCATACGCATCCCGAGGTCGCAATAAGACCGCGTAGTAAATATAGACATGATAAAAGTGGGATATTATGGACAATTTTCCCGATACCATGTCGGAGACATAGCCTTGATATGATTAATTTCGCCAGAAGCCCGGTTGCATCGTCTCGTCAGAGAAATACTCAATCATCTGAGGAGGCCGAAGATATTCATCATGCCATAAAGCCATGTGAGTCCACGCAAACCGGTCATACGTTGAAACGTAGTCCGCGACAGACATGTACATCCAGCCAACATCCTCCTGCTCCTCATTCGTTGTCCCATCATGCCACTCGGGATCAATTTCGTAGTTTCTCTCCTCGGGGCTCAAATCCCCCCATTGCTTATACATAATCTTCACAACAGGATCGTCCATATGGGCCAAAGACTCCAAGCAGATATCATCAACAAAGAGAGCCAAGTTGAACCGTGCTCCAAAACCGTATTCAGGCCCAGGAAGCTCTCTTTTCTTCTCTGAATGCGATTCAAGAATCCGCTGTAGTGTTTCAGGCGTGTCAACCACTTTTGGTAGTTGTTCTGCCACCCAGCCATGGAAATGATCGCGCACCTCATGTGAAGTCGCGCCGTTGAACTTCGGCTCGTCATGGATGACGAGATCGTGGGCCCCTAGGAGCTCGGTTCTTTCCTCTCCAGGTGGCATGGAACGTTCGATGGATTTTTGCACGCCTTGCTGAATGAGCTGGAGCATTTTGTGCCACGCAGCATTGTCTCTGAATGAGCATCGATAAATGCAAAAGCCCCATGGAAGATTTGGTTTTCTCTGAAAATCCGATCGTGTCATTTTGATCCCCTCGAATGGGATCTCACCCCCTGATATTGGGCCTGTAGTTGACATTTTGAAGATGATTTGATGAAAAGGCTGGCGGAACGAATTAATAACTCGCGGTCTGAAGAGCAGCATTGCAATGTCAATGGGGAGTCATGCCAGGAAGACTATCTCGCTAACTGGAAGACTTGGACGAATTTGATATTTTCGGCAGACAAGTGAATGAGGCGGGGAGTAGCAAAGAGGAAGAAGAAGAGGAAGAGAAGGATAGACCACATCACATGACTAGGAATTACCCCCTTTAAAAGCCCTGGAGCCCTTGACCTTGTTTTTTTATTTTTTTCTAGAAATTTCTAAATATAAAAGAATGTAGTAGAATTAACAAATCAAGTTTGTTTTTGAGGGACTCATTGGGGTTAGTGAATGGCCGTGGCTGTGGCTATATCTACTGGACTCTATCTAGTCTATCTAGTCTAGTCGAAAAGCGATCAATTCTTCAGAGGAAATGAGATCTGAGGAAGAGCCTTTTTCAGCTCTTCTGACTCGTACAACAACTTTGCAACAGCCTCATTTCCAGCCGAGCCCCCCAGTGGGAATTTGGCTGCGATTTCGGTGATTCGGTTCGACACGTAATTGTGAGAGATTGACACAATGTTATTATAGAATGCCGGCTCGAACTCCTTCCAAGCGGAAGAGATGCCCTTGAGGTCCGGTATATACTTGTCAGCGTATCCCATCTCAGTAATCACTTGAGCCCGGGTTTCGTCAAGGGCCTTGGCAAGCTCCTCATGTTTCATGTAATTCCATACACCGATGGTCTGTACCTGTTAGTCCTTAAACTCATGAAAGAAAAACACCAGAATTTAATGCATACCGTTTGAAGATTGCCAAGAATCATCTTCGCTCCATGCAACTTGCCATCTGCAGCATCTGCAAGGAAGTCCTTCCACTTGTCAGCACCCATTGTCCTATGGCCATTGAAGATACGCATCTTCGCCAAATTCATGGGACCCTCAAGCAATGTCATTCCTGTGCGATAGCTTAAGGATCCGAAACACTCGAAAATGCGATCATTGGGAGTGACCGCCGCTGCCCATCCCACAACATCTGTCACTTTCACACCGGCCAGTGGCAAAGACACGTCGTATACCTGGTGCCAACCTCTCAGGAGCTTATAAGGATCAACTACCGGTGTCTTCATTAGACCTCCACCGGGCAATATCCCGGTCAACCAGGCTTTGAGAAATTGAGATATCATATTGAACTATATGGTCAGCCGGGAGTAGAGAAGTAGAGTCAATGCCACTCACCTCCATCCTATGCTCAGCATGCATACCCTTTTTGGGAAGGTCGGCAGCCTTGATCAATTGAACACCAGTCGCGGAGCAAATATCCTTCGCAAGTCTGGAAATATGGTTAGTTAACTGGGACCAATTTTTCTTTTTTCAAAAATCCTGTGCGGAAATGAAGCAAGATGTGTTGAGGTTTTCTTACGCGAATCCGCCTTGGACGGGAAGCGTGGATGCTCCATCGCCTTTCAGGACATTCAATCCAGTCGCATAAGCCCGGGTTCTTAGATCCAAATCTTTGAATATGCTTGATCTCAGAATGGTGTTGAGGTAAATTGTCATTGTTCGAGGGTCTCCTGGTTTGATGTTCGGTTTTGCTCTCTCTTCGATCTCCGGTCTGTTATAGCTCCACATAACCTTTCCATCTGAGAGTTCATATGAACGCTTACTGACAGAAGAAAATCCATCTGTAGACGAATCAATAAATCCTGTTTCGTTGGCACATTCGTCTTCCTCGTCTTCGCATAAGTCGGCGTTGCAGTTCAACGTCTTCATGGCATCTGGATTTGGAGAACAGCAGAGAGCCTTTTTCCGATACCCTTGTTTATCATTTAGTTCGAAATCAAAAGACAAGGCAAATTGGAAACTCACAGCTACAGCCAGTAAAGGCGTCACCCATGTTGTCAGTGGCAAGCGTCACCTCTTCTGCGTTGCAAGTGTTATCCGCACAATCACCCTTGCCAACCCAGTGGCAGTTCTTAAGTGGAATAGGCTCGCTCTTTGGACAGCAGTAATGATTGCCGTGCTTGAAGGTTGTGCCCCATCCGGTACGATCCCATTGATAGGCGACACTTTCTTCGTCATCTTTGCATGTGCTCCCACTGGGATAGAAAGATAGTAAGTATTCATTGTCGTTCTCAAAGTGACCTATCAAGCTGAAGGAGAAGGATTGCACTTACACTCCCTTGCTCCAGTAACAGTTATCCAGGAGACTGTCATAGGTGCCCATCTCACAACACAAGGCTTTGCTACCGCGGCCACACCTTCCTGTGCCAGACTCTCCTGGAAGACCGCCCCAGCTCGAGGTTGTGACTTTGACTTCACCAGCATGACATTGTCCATTGCAGTCACCATGAGCAGGTCCACCGCGCCATTGGCAGTTTTTCAAGCCGCTGCTAGCTGGGCAGCAGATAGGTTTACCGCAGCTCCCCTACTGGATCTTAGCAATCACTCTTCCAGATTTGTGTTGAGAGCGAAGAAGAGCCGGCACTTACCGCTTTACCTTTGCAACCAGCTGTATCGTAGCCAACTTTCAACTGTGGCGAACAACTTGCGGCTTGTGTATTTTCCAAATCCACTTCCTCGGAGAATTTATGACAACCACCCGCAAGGTAGGTATCCACCACCTGGATCAGGGGCTTCTGCTGATCAGCTTGCATCAAACTAACCTCTTTGCCAATATCGTCATTTCCAGTGAGTGCTTTGTGGGCCGTCCATGAGTAGTCATCTGTTGCAGTAGAAGATCAGAAGTGTGTCTCTAACTTTCTCTCTTGGAATCTGTAACGTACCCAAGTCGGAAGCCCAGATCAGGGAGCCTCCAAAGCCTATATCATTTGCCCAGTCGATCTTTTGTTTGAAGATATCTTTGTCATCATATGAGATCCATTGGTCGTGATTGAATACCAAATATTTGACAGCGGCCGTCTTGTCGTGAACGGGCTTGAGCTGGTAGTTCTTGGTCAGAATCTGCTGGACCTCATAGTACGAGAGATCTTGAAGAGTAAGAATAATTCGAAAGAGCCAAAGCTGGAAGTAGATTTGACTTACATCCACTGGTATCTGTACAGACGCCTGGGTTGGCACCGCCGCTGAAGGGGCAGCCTGGGGATGTGCAACTTGGGTCGGTGAGAGTGAACGCCCGGCCATAGAAGCCGAATCCCATCACTACTTGTGAGGGTTTGACCTTTGCTCGCCATAGTAGCTCCGTTGCAAGCTTGATCTCAGTTAAATTTGTATGAGCCTGAACGATTGAGCCACTGTCATTTCAGAGTTAGCTTGATGCATATCACGAGATATCGTCAGTCCCTACATTGGATTATAACTGTCCCAGACACCGTGTAGATCATATGTCATCTGTAAAGGTCAGTTCAGTCAGTCTCCTTCGAATCTGGAATATCGTATGTTGTGCCTACAAAGTTCATCCAGTCGGCATATTTCAGCATCCCAGACAGGTCAAACCACCGCATATACCAGTAGGATGAGGGTGCCGTGAAGGTGAGACCTATGTCTCTACCTGAATCCTTGAACTTGCTGCGCAGGTCTTTCATAAGCTTGACATAGTTGTCGGTATCTTCTTTCTTGCCTCCTCGATCGCCGGCCCCAGGATATTCCCTGTGGTGTAATGAGCTACTGAAGCGCGAATGAACTCAGGATCAACCTACCAATCAAGGTCAACTCCATCGAAGCCATATTCGTCCAAGAACGCCATCACATTCTTTGCAAACGTCGCTCTGTTTTTTGAGCTCTTCGCAATGTCCCCAAAGACCGCTTGTGTCTCGGTATTATTGTCAGAAAATGTCCATCCGCCGATACTCACAAATATTTTGAGATCTGGATTCGTGAGTTTGAGGGCGGCAACATCATCAAACAAGGAAACTGGTGTGGCCGCGTCCATAGTCATGATCTCGAATGTACCGGGACTGATATAGGCAAATGCATAGTTGAGGTGTGTGAGGGCGTCAACTGTATCAAGTCAGCTGTGAGATTTAATGCATCGAGTTTGAAAGAAAAGTCAAAATGAAATTGCCAATGCAAATCAGTCAGAACGTTTTCACTTACGTGGAAGGTCTCTTGGGGAAGTTTGATGGCAATTTGACCGATCTGCCCATGCTTCGTAATATCCAATCACTGAGAAATTAGCATTAGCTGTTTTGACTTGAGCTGCTCGATGTTGGAGGAAAGGCACCTTTTGACAATGCCTGCTTCGTGGGCGATCCCGAGGGAGGTTTGGGATGTAAAACACAGTTCGATTGACATTTTCCGGTGCAAAATTCTGGTTTCACATACTCAAGTAAGTAAGACTGTCAAAATTATGTATACTCAAGTGGCTTTTAAACCAAAGTACTTACCAGATGTTGTCCCGCAGAATCCAAACTCGGAGCAACTTTTTGATATAAATGTAAGCCTGGAGCAATCACCGATGGAGAGGGGCAATACCATGTGTTTAAGGGACAAGTTTTATTTGCTGGACTTGAATATTCGCCACATTCTGCGGTGGCATCGCAATTGCTCACACAGCCAGCACCGCAGTATGTTGGGCCATAGCCACAGAATCCACCAGCTTTTGACAGACAAATCAGCTTAGTTTATCTTGAAGATTTGTCATTATAAGAAGTCATCTTACCACCACAACAAGCTCCGTTCGAACACGGCTCTGCGCAGAACATTAGGTATGAAAAGTGAGTAGAGAAGGTGGGCCAAGCTGACTTGAAGCGTCGCAACTATAATCATCACGCCGTGTAAGAGAGTGATTTAATTCCTCGCTGGGTGCTTCCCTCGATAGATGTTTGTGTAGATGAGAGTGGCTTCGATGATAGGCAACTGCGCTCCCAGCAAGGAACAGCAGCCACACGTTCCGAAGTAACATCCTCAGTGGGATTCTCGTACACTTGAGCACTCACGGCTTTCAAGAAAAACCGAAAATATTTTATGAAAGGAAGAGGGGGAAACCTGATTTTTAAAGAAAGCCCTTGTTATTCTGCCTTTTACTTGTTCGTTCTTCGTAGAACCTAACGAGTTAATACTTTTCAACCCACTAGAAGATAAAATGATTATTACCGTTTTTTGATGCCAAGAAATAATACCGGCGAGAGCCCGAAATAGGCCATATAGCTGTCGCATGCGCATTCGTTTTCTTCAGTCCACTTAGGGCGTACATTTCTCGAAGGGCATTGGTGGCGGATGGTCTCTTTGGCCCCCGGGTTGCTCTTCGGTGGAGCATGGTCCATTAGTCTGCTCAATTTGAAGAGTGAACTAAAAGTACTAAACAAAATGATTGCCACCGAAAAATCAGAGAAGCGCTATTGCCATAGAGTGGACTTCAACTCATCCGAAGTTCATATCATCCTTTACAGAGGAACCTTGGCACTTAGCATAGCTGATTAAAATAGACAACTGTTTCCCATAGTTCGGAGTGAAGGGAAATAGACGCGAGAGCGAAGTTCCAATTATTTGCCAGAAGCTCCATGTCGTCCGGACGAAAAGAAGATACCGAGGTTCTAAGCGAGATTACCTCCAGTGGAGTGTGAAGCTTTGGACGAACTATACAGGTGGGCAAAGGTTACTGTTGCTTTACACTCACTTCCGTTTAATTAAATAAATTAATTAAAGGTCGGGAGATGCACTTGATGCGAAATAGCGTCCAATGGAAATCAGAAGATTTAGCACTAAAAGCACGCTATGTTTCTCGGTATTAACTGTGGAGATTCGTTAATAGCGGTAGATGGGTCGAGCAAATGAAACCGTCGAGTCTAACCCGCTACAGACAATAGTGATTGTACTCTGCACTTAGTACTCCGCTCCGGATTGAATGGGCCTTGAAGGGTCTGAAGGTAAACTTCCATTAAGTGAAACACGTCTAGTCCAAAGTAAAGCGACTCCATGGGTTTGAATCAAGTTCCGGCCACCTTCCGGCCAATTCGAACCAACAACGCCTTCTCTTAAAATTTGGCAATTGACCTTAGTTCGGCAGATAATGAAGCCCTACAAAACCAAGACCACTTCAAAATAATGCTTATAAAATTTATGAATATGCACGGAGAAATGCTTCAGCCTGACCACGTGAACATATCTCGACAGCAAAACCCCTACTCAAGTAATGAATCCCAAATTGGGATCAAGGGCTTCAAAGACAAACCCTCATTGTAAATTGTAAGTGTTGAACGCGAGAGAACGGCCACTCAATTGGAATTCAGTAGCGTGGAAATTAATTATCTTCCGCCACCTATGCTTGTACTCCGTACTCGCGCACTAAATATGACACTATCCAGATCGGGCTGCCAAGATGTCCAAGTCGGTTAGTTCCGGATTTGCACCGAGATCCACTTCATTAAAGAGGGTCTCTAGACTTTTTCCAACCCCTGCATCAATCAGTCGGCTAAACAACTCCACACTGAGACTTGTTTTTGACTCGAGAAATCGTACGGTTGCCTGAAAGCTCTGCCAGTGGAATTCTAAGGTTCAATATCATTAGCTAACTAAGCAAGCGAGCGTAAAGTGAAATTACTATGTGGGGCTGCAGAGGTTGTAGTCGGTACTAAGGGCTTAATACAGACAAGTATTCAATAGACCGAGAGCGAAATAAAAAAACCCAGAGAGGCAATCGAAGGAAATTAGGAGAGAATGCAAAAGAAAATGCGCAGCAATACATAGTGTTTGTACTCCATACATGGTTGTTAATTGAGGCCTGTCCTTGAAATATCCCACCTCTTGTCTAGAATTCCATCATTTCCCCTAATTTATTTCCTTTTGCTCCGTTCATTCTCGGAAGAAATGATGGCGAGGTGTCTGGCAATAGTCAGCGCCCTGCTGATGGTCACTCAGGCACAGCAGTTTGATGGCTACTTCTTTCCTTACGACGAATTGGGACTGAGTGATTCCTGCTTTGCTGCTGTCAACCTCTCCATCCCATGTCCTGCCTGGGTTGCCCGTTATACAGGATTAGAGTATGTTGAATGAGGGTTTCTATCTGAGTGTGGATGTACTGATGTGAAACAGGGCCTCGAGCTTTGAGGTTCTTCCCGCGGAGCAACTTACACAATTATGCGAAAGCAACTGCCTACTCAATATGCAACGGCTTCGACAAATCATTTTGACTGATTGCACTGCGGATGACGTTGTTATGCCTTTTGGATCAATTGCTTATCCCCGTGAGTATCTTCGTCCGCGAGACTCATACTATGTTTAGCTCTAATAGAGAATAGCAACATTCATGATCGACCGTTATATCTACGCGGCTGGTATCTCTTGCCAAACTGACCCGTGAGTCGCGAGGAATCTACCAAACAAGGATTGATATTCATTAATAGCTGCAGGTCTACTCATGAATATTGCGATACAATTGTCAGTTCATGGATGGCCAATGGATCCACGTACTCCTCGGCTCAGAATTGCTCTGCCTGCGAATTAAGCGTTTTGAAGCGTCAGCTCGAGTCGCCTTTCGGATACAGTGACGAGGCTGCTGAGGACTTTGTTTCACTCACGTCCAGCTGCGGTGCTACTGGTTATGATTTTGCAACTCCAACAGCGTATGCACTGAACGCGACTTCAACTGGAGCCGGATCTTCTGCGAGTGCTACTGCCTCCTCTTCCTGCTCGGGATTCCATACAGTGGAGAAAGAAGAGAGCTGTGTGACAGTCTCAGAGGCGAATAACGTGTCAACATATGGTCTCATTGCATCTAATGCTCTCGATGCGGCTTGCAATTCAATTTCAGAGGGCAGAAATCTTTGTCTCCCCAGCACTTGCAAAACTTATCAGCTCGGGTTATCTGACACCTGTGAGTCGCTCATCAGCAGTCTAGATATCACAATGGCCCAGCTACTCGCTTGGAATCCGATGATCAACACCGGCTGCTCAAACCTCGCCTCTTGGATAGGGTGGTATCTTTGTGCCAGGTATGATAATTATTCTCAATCACTTTTCACACAACAGGTTTTTCAATTGCCTTTTGCTTTCCACTCGCTGTGTTTGTGAGCTACAGCTAATATGATATCAACAAGCTCTCCGTCTGGTACGATAACTGTTAACGCAGGGACAGCTGTCACAACAGCTGCACCAGTACCAACCGATGCCCAGCCGCAAACAAATACCGACTGTGGGACCTGGCATGAAGTACGTTGATATTTAAAATGACTTCATTAGAGACTCTAATTTTTGTTTAGGTTGTGACAGATGAGGACTGCTCTACTATCTCGCTGAAATATGCGATATCCTTGAGCGACTTCTACTTCCTTAATCCTCAAGTAGACTCGACTTGTTCCAACCTTTGGGCCAATACTTCATACTGCGTGCAGGCTGTCGGAAATATCGCCACCTACTCAGGCTATCCAGTGACAACAGTAAGCTACACGTTCACTAAGCCAGCTTCAACCACATATACGCCGACTCCTATTGCCACTGCCACCTTGCAGCCGACTGCTTCCGGTACTATTGGGGGTTGCTCGGCATATCAAAATGCATTTGGCAGCAATGTCGCTAATGTGACTTATTTGAATGCATGTGATGGCTGGGCTGTTGTCAATGATGTTACTGTTGATGAGTTGTTGCGCTGGAACCCCAGTCTCTCATCTGAAAATTGTGTATTCGAAGCCGGATACAGCTATTGCGTTGATGCTGGAGAGACGACAAGTAAGTCTGCCTTTTGCCTGCAATGTTTCATGATAATGCTAATAGGCCCAAAAGCTTCTGAACTCCCCTATCACTATTGTTTCGCCCCAAACACCAGCCTCATTGCCTCGACTTCAGCCCAGCCTGCGGACTGTAACTGTTACATTCAACTTAGAGAAGCAGATAAAAGTAAGACCATCCCTACTATCAATTCTCAAGACTAGCTAACATTCTCCTAGACATCTTCAACTGTACAATGTTCAAATCGCTTTTCGACGTGGACATAACAGATGTGGTTGCTCTAAATCCCTGGATCAGCTCCGACTGCGATGGAGTATGGGACGCTCTATCAAGTGATGGATATGAACAGATATGTGTGATGGGCAGCTCAACTCCATCTCACCCATCTAGCTCCTCTGCCTCTGGCTCAACTGCTACGGCTACAACCACCGGCCATACCGTCACCTCGACAACTGCAGCCCCAAGCCTCCCAGCTATTTCCCAGCTCCCTCAATGCGGTGTAAGTTTTCGACTCAATTCTCCCTCGAGTAGAGTCATCTAATCATTATATATTTAGCAAACTTGCTTTGATAACATGCTGTCCAAATACTCCGATCTTGGGTGCAGTACCTTGGACCCGTCTTGTCTGTGCAGAAACATGGATTTCTACTATGGTATTCGAGACTGCTCCAACGGTGCCTGTGGCACTAAAGTTGCCAGCACCGTCCTCAGCTTTGAAACCGAGTACTGCAGCTCCGCTATTGCGGCGCATACCACATATCCGACTACATTCCCGGCCGAGGCAACAAGCACAACCACCACATCCGCCCCAGCTGCCATTACTACCGGGCCAACCGCTATCACAGACTTGCCTACTTGCGGTCAAACTTGTTTCAACAACATGCTGGGCAAGTATGCCTCCCTTGGATGTACTGGTCCAGATCCATCCTGCGTGTGCCAGAACATGGACTTCTATTACGGCATTCGTGACTGCGCCAATGCTGCCTGTGGAAGTGGCGATGCTAGCACTGTGATGGCGTTTGAGAGCTCTTATTGTGCCTCTGCTACAGCAAGCAATTAGAATGAGACATTCCCACCAAATGCTTCACTTCGGTGTTTAGATAGCTGAGAATTGAGATTGTTCAGCCAAGACACTGATCGGCTGTGAAATCCCGACTGTGAGGGTACAATGTTTTTATCAAAGCAAACGCCGTGTAGATAACGAAAATAAGAAGGGATGGGCGGAATGGTATGTTTTTAGATATTTTGCCCCTGGGGGGGAAGAAGGAGAAGAGAAAAGAAGAAGGCTGGGTCCATCTATACAAGTAGGGGACAACCAGCAGCCCAATACTGTTCAATGATCGCAATAACTATTTACCACAAAAATGAAATGAGACGGAGTTTCTGCCCAAAGCTCATGATTAATATCGTTTGTCTCACAATCGAACAGTATTTTCTGAGCAAAAGGCCTCAAGTAGACAAGATGGCCCGCCAGCCAAGAATCTTTGAGGGGTGGACGGCCGAGGAACGTTCCAAGCAACTTCCCAGCAGCAAGAGTGTACCATAGCTTTGTTTTTTCGCGAAGGATACTTTTCAGCGGGCCGAAGTCGATCAACACATATCTCTTTTCACATCGGCTGATGATAGCTCCTCCAGATGTCGCTTTCCCGACTTGAAGGTTCGATTGGCCGTACACATACAATACACTCTATATAATAGCCGGGAGATAGATGTGCGTGGAGCCCGATGGTTGCTCTCGGTGTAGGTCCAGCTGGAGGCGGAGAATCTGGTGCGGAAAAGACAATTGTAGAGGAGCGGCCTGCTGGGCGGCAATGACCCGAAACGCAGGTATCGAACTTGGAGGTCTTGGTTGAACTAATTGAGACGTCGTCGGGAAAGATCTTCTGTCAAATGGAACTCCAGATCCCATGCGTGGCCGAACATCTGGGTTTGCGATGCTAGACATGGCTTGATAACTTTATCTATTAAGGCAAAAGAGGCATGGTATCACTCAGTGTATATGTCATGTCGCTCGTGCGTGTGCAACGAATATAGTCTATGCCACGTCCACGCCCAGTTTCATCGCTACCGCTTTTATAGAGCTCTACTTACCAGTCATTCCATAGTTCAGGACAGAAGAAACGCGCAGGATGGCGCATCACGGATACAAATGCCCTCTTCATCATAAAAGGTCTGCGCGACGCTGTTGCTGCAAAAAAAAAACCATTTTTCCATCCGTCCATCTCATCCTCTATGCTAATCAATGGTGAAACAAACAAGAATTTCGGTCACAAGGCGCCTTTAGTGAAAGGGGTTGGGACTACGCAGATCTTGAAGATGCGGGCGACCGCTCACCAAGATCATACCACAATGATGCAGCTATTCCTGGAGAACTGCATGTTTGCGTATCATCTGCACCCAGTGTCACCATCACTGATTTGAACGGGCTCTACTCGCCAGTCGTTCCATGGTTCGAGACAACACACGAAACGCGTAAAGCCAGACCAGCACGGAGACACACGCCCCCTCCATTTCCTCCGCATGATAGGATCCTTGTGTGCAATTAGTCTGTAGATGTGACAATTTTTTGAGCTTCAAGCCCACATTGGTCTCAAGCAGGGTCTCACGAATGTGTTTCTCGTGAAAAGAAAACGTGTGATCATACTGGCTGGAAAAGCTGAGCAGTATGGTTCCGGCCTTGCTTAGTGCTCAGTGTTCCAACATTCGGCCGTTGCATCCTCAAGGCAGATTTGGGGATCTGGTACGGTGACAATCGACTGGCGAATCAGCATGTGAGGCGGCAGTTCGTAGGTCGGCGCAGCGGACTAAAGGCAAAATTAACTCATAGTATTCCTACTGGAACAATCAACCATGATATATCCGGCCGTTGCTATTTTTAGGGAGAGTAATGTCTGCGCCGGGCTAGGGCGCAGTGATCTTCCACCGGGCCGAATGGGTCCTGCTTGTCAGTCGTTCCTCGATCATAGACCGGCAGCCTGGTCGTCTCTAGTCCGCGTGACGCCGACGCTGTAACACTAGACCTATTTCCTGGTTCCTCTATCTCACCCTCTGTCTCAATCAATTGTGAGGTCGATCGATGGTTAGGCTAATAAGGCGAATTAGGTGACTAGGGGCCAGGCCTGCGTAGATCTCATGAATGACCGTAATAGAGACGGGTGTAGTCCGGGGGGATCGACATCTTGCACGCTGCCTAACCCGTAGGCGATTTCGTATGGTAGTCTTGCAAAATAAGCCGAGAATATATCACGGAGTCATGGCATAGACCGTTCGTGTCGTGATATTAAGGGACTCCGTATATACTGGCCGATAGGAATCGCGGCTAGGACAGTTCTAACAGTCAAATAAGCCACGTTAGATTTAGGTCGACCTTATTTTTGAAAATGAAGCGAGCGCTATCGCCTAAGTGTTACAAGACCCTGTCGTTCCGCTCTTTGTATGCTATGGTGAATTCGTAGACCTAGTTCGCGTAGGCGATTGTCTAGAGCGAGCGAAGGACACGCCAATAATAGGACTGACGATTGACCGACGGATAATCACATAAGGCTAGGGAATCCGTGGGTCAGCATCAGGGTGTAAGAGAAAGCACCTGATTAGGAATAAGGGGACGGAAAGACGCGTATAGGTGATGACGAGTCACATAGGGAAAAGGGGTGGCGAAGCTCAGGGGCTCGGTGATCCGGGTCAATGGCAAAAATACCTTAGCTGCGAGGTGTGGGGAGAAGGAAGGCGAAAAAGAAAATCGGGGCTGTTGGACGGAGGGGGAAGAGTAGGGACTATATAGAACCACGCACGGGGACGCATGACAAAGAGCGCTAAACCTAACGGGTCAACACTAAAATTAAGAGGGTAATTCGCAGTACCCCTCCGATATGGTGTAGTGGCTAACATCGTCGTCTCTCACACGACAGCCGGGGGTTCGATTCCCCCTATCGGAGTTTCTTTCTTTTTTTATCTCCTTGTCATATTACATACAGTATATCTAATTATCCCACACCCATTTATCATATTCATCATGGGGGGTTTTTTTTGGTAGGAGGAGGATTTTTGAGATAGACAATATGATCTCATTGGGTCAGGTGTATCATATTTCAGTACATCAACATCCTGCTGATCGAACAAATATGTTTGCTAACTTATAGGAGTGGGTTCAAGTGTGATCCTTAACATATGAACTTCGGGGATTTTTGATCTTGTAGTACTACTACATGTAAGGTATATAATTATCCGGTCAAACTTAAAGACCTATTAAGACGATAATATGTATATCCATGGTTTTCTGCTTTACCGACTTCTGGTTTTTCGCATATATATATCGCGACGCCTTGGCTTGCAATGCAAAGAATATGCAGCTGGCTCAAGAAGTAACAAAATAACCCTATGTCATATTTGCAGCACAAGAGATCCGAGCATGATATCAGGGAAATTCTTATCTGACATGTGAGACTGCAGGTGGATTCAACGTTTTTTTTAGACCGTTTTCTGTCAGACCCGGTCAATTTTCGCTCTCCAATTCTCCGTCTTTTACACACCCATCTATCTTCCCAACCATTGTCAATGGACTACTCGGGATTCCCATTGTTTCCCGCCATCCCGGCCTCGATTAGACGTCGGCTGCCCCGCTTATACTCATCCCACCGTGCGCCCATAGGTACCGAATCGAGCGGGGATCCGCGCCGGGGACTGGCTTCCAGATCAGAACCTCATCTGCTGTGCCACAGCCAATCCCTAGAGCGAGTGGTACCCGAGGTACGTCCCTGGACAGCAAGCGATGATCTGGACTCTTTTGATTCTGGCTCCCGGAGCCCGGACAGCCCTCCAGCCGAGGAAATGGGAAGTCCGACTAAATATGAAGCCGAGTCCGGGTTGCGATGGAACCGGGTAGTACCCGGTGAGTCCTAGACTATTGTATATTGACTAGCTATCACTGACAGAATACTTGATGGGGCTAAAGCGTTCAATCTTTTGCGCAACGCGGGATATGAAGCTCAGCAACCACAAGCCGACGGCCGCCTGGCTCGATCGCTTTATGTAAATGCCTTGGTTTACCTTCTCGATGCTTTACCGCCAGATCTGTCTACCGAGGAGACTTCCATGCTCGAACATCACATCCCAGAGTCGGTCAAAGCATCACTAGCGCCATATCCTCAACCACCGCAATATCTCCCTGATGGGAACAACAAATACAACTCCCACCCGAGATCGTATCTACATAGACTCCTCGCCTCGACAATTGTGCAAATATTTATTCTCCTGCGAATCCTTCTACCATATGCAAAGCTGCTTTTGCGCCAGATATATGCATATGAGCGGACCCACCGTATCACTGAGCGCATTCTAACCACTACGCTGGACACAGCCGATGGGCTTGGGAAAGGCAGTATCAACATCGGCGTGGCGGTTTGCAAACTCAATGAAGGAAGAGTAGGTGCTGCATTGTCGAGCTTTGCCGCTTGGTGGATGGAAGGTGTGGCTGGAGGGATATATGAAGGTGTTGGAGAGGGGATGATGCATCTCGGTCTTCTTGGAAAAGAGTCGGATTTTGATAGATTTCCCATGCAAATGGCTAGACAAAGTAGTTTATAGTATATATTAGATCTTTTAGAACATGGTATATTTCCAAGCTTGTTTGTGAACTGTGAGAATCCCCATATTGACATTGATAAGCGATAAGCATCTCAACTTCTCCAACTTCTTCTGTACAATGGCGACCACCAGATTACCCTGCATTCCGTCTCTTCGAAAGCAGCAGCTCCACCTGGAATTGTGAGTTATTTGCTTCGCATTATGATCCATGTACTGACTTCCGAAGTGCGAGCTTAAAACATGCAACACCGCCAGGGGTCTACGTGACCCTGGCTCCTGGAGACCCGACACTCTGGAATGGAGTGATCTTCGTTCGCTCAGGTTAGTCTGAACCCATCAATTGAACTGTAAAACCATCTAAAATCCAGTCTGTAGGTCCCTACGCATCCGCCATCCTCCGCTTCCAACTCCGCTTCCCTGACACCTACCCCGACCTCCCACCTCTGGTCACCTTCGCGACCGACTTCTTCCACCCATTGATTGTGCCCCTCACCACTTATACCTTCAGTACCGGCTCGGCAAGTGACAACCCTGTCAGCGCAACAGATGAGGAACGGTTACCGCCTGGTGGGTTCAGTCTCCGCCATGGATTCCCTCACTGGTTTGGCAGAGCAAAGCGGAGCGGCTTAGCATCGGGGAATACATCGCGAAATGTAAGCGGGAATAGTGCAACTGCTGCACCGTCGGGTGAAACGAGTGCTGCAGATCCTGCAAAAGGCGATGTAGCCCCGGACACGTCGACTGCCCCGACATCAACGCACCCGGAAACCAGTGACAATGACGTGGAGACACCACGCGTGGCCCAGGTCCCTTCCATGGACCAGTTTGCGGAACCAAGGTCTATTGTCCCTGTCTCAGAAATATTGGATTACATCCGGTCGACGTTCGATGATGAAACTGTGCTGGATTCGTTGCCAGTTGAAGTCGCCGGCAATCCTGGGGCATGGCATGCGTGGAAGGCACACCGCCGAGGTGGTACTGGCGGAGGATGGAAACGGGGAAGCCCGCAGACCCGGCTTCCCGGTGACTGGCATTGGGATGGGATCTGGGCTCGGCGGGCTCAAGATGAGATTGAGAATTCGCGCTCTGATCCGATGTTATTTGGAAGTGCTGCTCGTGGGAATGGGGATGAAATGGTAAGATCTCTTGCGCTGAGCGTACGTTTCGCCCGGATGATACTAAGCTGTTCTTAGATTCGGTTCTCACGGTTGGATGATGCGAGCTTGAACTCGGTCAAGGAGAGTATGGCAGCCATGGTAGGCAATGTATAAAGAGTGCTTGTTTTGTGTTCAGATACCCGATGCTACTTGACTTTTGTACCTTGGTTCCCATCGCCCTTTCCACTACTTGCGTATAGATATACTTGCCGTTCTCCTCCCCAACTTCTACTCACATTCATATTTCACAAAATGACCAATACGCTATCCTTGGATTTTAAGAGTTCAGCTTTACTGATTGCATTAATTCTTGTGCCCATTGTTGTCCTTGTCTGCGCTGTTGCCATCGCTCTTGCATGTTCCGAGTACTGGAGTATTCACTCCATCAAGCAAACCTGCCTATCGTGCTGTCGTCTCAAGAAACAACAGAGACGCAAGCAGATTCGATCCGATCCCGAGAGTTGCAACATCGTACCGTCGACTCGTGCGACAGAGTGCTCTGATATCCAGATCGAGATCGAGGTCCCTGTCACCAACCGAGAGCACGTTTAGATCGCAACCATGGACGAGCTGCCTGTACCGCTCACTGTCATCAAACGCAGCGCGTTATCCGATCACAAATTCAGCTCGCTGTCTCTAGCATACCCGCAGATTCCGTGTCGCAGCTCTTCACTTGCCACGAGCGTGAATTATGAGTCGAAGGAGGCTGCGACATCCACACGAACTCCATCTCTAAGTGACAGTCTTTACAATATCGAGATTACGAAACTTCGTCCGGATCATACTACCGCAGCCCGGGGTATACTGGTTCCTGGCCAAGACGCAGATGACGACCCATTTGTTGACAATGTGATAGCTTCCATACCTTTGGGAAGTTGTTTCTCCTGCTGACCCATATATGCAGACCTCGCGACGTCGTCTCCGGGCCCAAGGACTCACGACAAGGAGTGGGTATCAGATCGCGCCACGCCTGCTCGTTCGCTGGAGCTCCGGATCTTGGAACTCCTTGCAACCATGCCTCACGTCAACGCCACAAAATGTCTCACTGGAAATGGGAGCGTCTACGGGTCCAATGTCACAACAGGTTTTTATGACTGATCGTGCCCGGTCTTTGTCAAAAATACTGCACCAAGGCGTGTCTGACTTGTTGTGCCCGATGGATCTTCCTATTGCATTCGCCAACATGAGTTCTTATGCAAGCCGGCCATGCATCCAGGCAGATTATATGTCCGTTTGGACCTCGGTGAATATATCTGTTGACGTCAATCCCATTGCATTGCCTGTGACCTCCCACTTGGCTCCTCTTGACATGATAATACTACTTGATTGCTTGTAAGTTGTTACCCTTTGCATGCTTTGTCAAATACTAATCTGACCCACCTATCATGACACAGACAACAACCTTCGCCCAGCCTTTTGACGCCAATGATCATGGCATCCACGGCGCTCGCTTCAAGCTTGATTGCTACTTATGACAGGCTGGCCTTGGCATGCGTAAATGGGCGTTCACCGAACGGATTTGATATATTGCTTCCTCTGGGGTTTCATTCAGCCGAGGCTGCTCAAGCTTCTTTGAACATCTTCTCCATACGCCAGATGAAGAAGCATAGGAGAAGATGCCCAGACCTGGCGAACTCTATTCAAAAAGTATCCCTACTGTTTTGTCCCTCATCTAGAACTGCGTTCTGTCATCTGGTTTTCATCTCAGCCGGCTCCCCAAAGTCCTTTTTGGTAGCCAATATCGACAAGGCCATCGGTTTTCACACAGTCTCCCCTCAGCCCTACTTTCCTCTCGGGACAGCCCACCCACCGGGCTGGCACATTTGTTCTGATGCCGATGAAGCAGATTCAGACCCCAGAAATGCCCATTTTGCGCGCAAAGTCACCAAAGTTGTTCGACAGCTTCGCACCGGCATCAGCCCTGGAGTCATATCAGACTTGAAACTTTCGGTTGGTCTTGGCAATGGATGTTGGTTCGAGGCTGCGGCAGGAAGTACTCATCTGATGCGACTACGTCCAGGCGAAACTTGGATATATAAGCTGAAAATTGGGCTACCTTTGGTTCAATACCAAGATACACAGTTCACAGATAATTCCATGTTCAAGGAATTGATTGCCCAGATCAACGATGTGTTGAGGGAGTATTCTTCTGAGCCGGCTCTCCAGCAGGTTCTTACTGCTGGTCTCGAATATGAACACTCTTTTCTACCGAAATCGCACACTGTGTGCTTGGAAACTCATTGCACGATCTCCCGCACCCTGGATATGTCCAACAAGCCAGGTTGCGGTCATCAGAAGATTTCGACACTGATGGCATACGAAGACGACGACGATTCTATCAATATAAGTTTGGGTTCTGCAAGTGTGAGCAGTTGAAATAGACCGGCAGACTTTGCTTTTTTTGGATTGCTTATACTATCATTATGGGGCCTTGCGTGTCTGGCTTGCTATATTCTTCTCTCATGTTTTAGGATCCGCACCTGTATAAGGACTTCTGCTCTTATTGCTGAAGTGTGATCCATACAATCATAACGCGGTCACAATTAAACAAAACCCTGATACTCTAATCTAGTCCGGGAACTGAGCAATGATGCATACGGAAAACATATCAGTACGGCACTTTCTGTAATGCGCTACATGCTCGTAACGACCAACCTCAAATACGAGGATAGGTATTACCCGCCATGCGCCACGTCTCCTTGATCAAGTCCGCACACTTCTCCCCAATACCATAAGCCGGCATCTGGGTATGACCTCCATGCAAAGTAGGCATAACACTACAATCAGCAACCCTCAACCCAGAAACACCCCTAACCTGAAGTTTCTCATCAAGCACAGCCACAGGGTTATCCCTCCTCCCCATGGCACATGTACCGGCAGCATGATAGCCTACAAAAGAAAGACAAGAAGGTCATTAACCCCGAAAACGGTCTAAAAGGAAAATAAAATAAAAGACTCACAAGTAGTAGCATGCTCCTTAACATAAGGAACCCACTCCTTCCTCGTCGTATAAGAATGATGATTCAAATTCGGCGGCCAAGACCCCTTAACAATATCCTTCGTCCCAGCCCCCTTCATAACAACGTCATTGCCAAACCGACAAGCCTCACTCAAAACTAACAAATCAAGCGGATCAGCCAAATAATTACAATCAACAATCGGATTCTCCATCCCATCCGCCGATTTCAACGCCACAGACCCGCGCGATTTAGGCGCGAATAGCTCTGCTATCATGGAAAATGCGTGCTGGTGGTCACAAGAACGAGTACGTAGGCAAACAGAAAAGCGCCGTCTTTTTTTCCGTCAATATCACCGGAAACTGGTCGTACTGTTTTGGCCCGCCGTAGCATTCCGCTGAGAAGAATTCGATGTTTGGTTGGGAAGGTGTTAGGCCCATCGGGTCGCGTCCTGGTTGGCGGGATGTGTTTTTCCAGAGCGGTTCGTCTTTTAGGCGCTCGTCTAGTCTGGCGAAGGCGAAGCTGCCGAAGGGGAAGGTGGAGAGGAAGCCTAATTTTTGGGTTTTCCATTCTTCGTAGGTTTTGTCGAAGTTTGGGTCGTGGTAGACGTGATGGACGTTTGTTAGGCCTTTCTTTTCCGTCTCGTAGAACATGAAGACGATCTGGTTTGGTTAGCTTTGTTTGATTTTGATCTTGGATGGGTGGATGAAGGGAAGAATAAAGGTAATACTGAATAGGTGGTCCATTAGGTTCTTTCCTGCACCTGGTAGGTTAACCGTGCAGGGAATATTGTGCTGGGCAAGTTCGGCTTTGGGCCCGATGCCAGATCGAAGCAAAATTACAGGGCTGCAGTATGCGCCTCCGGAGATGATAATCTCCGTTCGTGCATGGTAAATCCGGGATGTGCCATCCGAGTTTAGAGTTGCCACAGCCGAAGCGCGTTCCATTCGCCTGCTTCTGAAGATGATTTTGTCGACTGTGGTATCAGTCTTGATGGTAACATTCCCGGGGTGGTTCTTGTTTGTAACGAAGTCAGCACCTGTTGTGCGGAGAACTTGATATACTGTGCGAGGCACATGGCCACATCCTTGCGCGACATTTTTTGTTTATTTCTTTTTCTTCGCACTGAGAAGGATAATTCTAAGGTTTACTAAATGCGTTGTCTCTAGAATTCCGATCTAATAGTAATGTGGTTATAGGTTCGTTAGCTACGCTTAAGGGAAGACATAAATGACGCTATTCTCCGTAGATGCAAATTTGCTTTATAATCAAAATGCAAAAACTAGGTCGAGTTAGGGCTAAATTAGGTTTTACTAGGGCCCTAGTATGGGGTCCGGGTTAGGCCTAGGTTAGGGAGGATCCCGACCCAAATTGGGTTATGCGGAAGTCTACATGGGAAAGATTGTTTTGGGAAATTAACATATAAAACAGAAATTGCCATAACATGTTATATTCCAAAATCTATCCTGTCTAGGCATTCATATCAAGCCTCTATTTCCCATTCGAGCAATGTTTCAGAATTCGATGAAGTGTTCGGATGGTGCTGCCTTAATATTCGTTTTTCCTTGGCTAAGCAATCTCGTAGCAAGTTGATGGCTTCGGCATCGTGACCTGGTGATTTCCAGGTGAAAGCGAAATTAACCATACTGGTCAGCGTGTCAAGATGATCTTCGCCAAGCTTCGTCTTGCGAGTCCCTATCACCTGCAAATCGAGCTGTTCGGCCTCGGGCCACCGGCCTTGGCTACTGTACACCGACGCTAGGTTGGTCATACTCGTCAGAGTATGGGGAAGATCCTCGCCGAGCTTCGTCTTACGAGCACCCATCACCAGCGTTTGGAATTGCTCGGCCTCCTCCCACTGGCTCTCAAGCCAGTATGCTGTTGCTAACATGCTTGTGCCATCAACAGCATCTTCATGGCCCTCACCCAACAAGGTCACTCTTTTATCTTTAGATTTGCCGCCATTTGTCTAACATCCGGGATGTTACCGCATTGCCATGCATACCATGCACCTCTATAAAAGCAATGTAGCCCATCGTTGTAGACACTCAGCTGATGCTGGCCGCTATGGCATTGCGGATTTGACATGAGGAATGAGTGACTTGCGCCTCTCCCAAATTTCGTATTCACCGATTGGGAACTGATCGCACAGGGTGCTAATGAATTTATCTTTCCATTGGTCTACGTGTACATGAGAATTGCAACCACGCGCGCGTAGTCAGCTGCACCAGCCGATGTCTTCAGCAAGTCATTTATTTCATCTTGAACACGACTAAATATTGGTCACGGGATAAACCAGCTGGCTGGCTCGCCTAACCGTTGCCATCGTGCCCAAAGTTTGGCAACCGAAATTGACACCCGAAGGGCCAGCTTTCCCCAATTATGATCTGCGTCGGACGGCGAATAAAAATCAGATATTCCCGCTTCCATTGCATCTCGGACAAGATCCCCAAACCGTGCCTTTGCCATTACAGGGCGTGCAAGTCATCTTTCGATTTCCGCTCTGATTTTGCTGAAGCCAGGTCCCTACACCCTGGCAGCTCGAGCAGCTTTTGTCGCATTGTCCAGCGCCTTTGCAAGAATAACATTGTGTCATCGTGGTGGTGAGAACAGGTGAGGGTCTCAGTATAGGTTTTGTACTATCAGTCGCTCTAATAATTGTCACGTTAGTGGGGTCCAGACAGTTGTCTTTTTAGATGCCAGTGTAGCTCACCGATGGAGTACAATTGCCTTGAAAGGCTTGAAGGAAATCAGACGAGGTATGAGTTGTCAGACCTCGTAGACTGGAAAGGGCTTTAAATGTGGAGTATCTTCTCTGGCCGATGGGGAGGATCAGGACATGGGCGATGATCGTCTATTTAACTGTTCGTAACCAGGTGCCATCTTCTTCGTTTATATTCATAGATAGCAGCAAGTGATAGAGCGAGACAGTAACGATGTAAGACTAGACGCACCCTCATTCTTGAATGTTTCCAATCAAGTCGATTCAACTCTAGCTACTTTCGGCTTCTTGCATTATCCAGAGAACCACAAGTGATAGAGGGTGTGTGTTGACGGGTCATGGCTTTGACGTGTGGTACTTAAATTCCGACTCGGGCTGCAACACGAAATAGCTTGTAACTAGTGCTTATGTACAGCACATAGACTGCAAATCTGTCCTCAAAAAGGTTCGGTCTGTTTCTCTAATAAGTGAAGGGTAGGTCTGTCTGTTAATTACCTCGTCACCCTATTTTCCCCCAGAATAATAACCCAAAGAGGCAACACCACCAAGCGATGTAGGTATTCGCAGGAATCCAGCAAACCTTCACTACAAGCGTTATTGATTCTTAGGCCTTCATTTTTGCTGGATTGGATACGCTGTATACATCTAGCAAATTCATCTATAGCTTTGTTTCTGGCTAAAATCATATTCGAAATACCATTGCCCGGGTAAGCGGCTGCATCACTCTCACCATTACCGCAGCTACCGCCATTTATTACGGTCCAAGGAACTGCGAGAATACCAAGTCACCTGCATTTCCTAATACCCAGCATGCCCCAGACCTTTCGTCCAAAATACTGATCACGAGCGCTGTCGCACGCAGTTACCCAGAAACAAGACAGAAACTCGAGCACGTGAGGGGACAAGTTTCAGACCAATTCCAGGTCAATAAGGGCGAGGCTTGGCGCGAGATTTGGCTGTGTTCGTCGCAGTCAACTCCGCCTCCAAGTCAGCCTCGCGCAGACCCGCGGTTTGTAACGCCTTTCACTCCGCTCCTTCGTTTTAGGGCATTTCATCTGCTCACAGGGTAAAGAAAAGTGAGCAGATGGTTTTGCTTTCCATCAAATTTTGGCGGTCTCCCATCGCTCCCCCGCTAAAGCCTTCTTGGGCCAACGTTCTCAATCTCCAACGGTTTTTTTTGCGCCATGGCGCCAAGACTTTCTCTCTCGAAGCTCGAAATGATCAAGCAAGAAGCAAAGAAACATTACCCACTAGCACTGTCTCTATACAAGTCACTCGTTCGCAGTGGTCACTCTAGAGGGCAAGTTCGATTCTAGGTTTGCGAACTTTTGCTCTAAAACTTACGTTGGGAAGTCGGTAAATCAGTCTGGCAATACCTGCTATTGAAAGTTCAATCGTAAAAAGATGATTGGAGCTCAACCACCCCACGTACAACATGCAAGGCTGCTGGTGGCACTTAGCATTCGATCCGTCCAATTGAAAGACCAAAATAGAAAAAAGGGATTCATCTGTAGTGAAGTGGGTGTTGGGGCGGAATGTTGAGTCCACTTCCCGCTGCCTGAGGATATACAAATTTGTCGCAATTACCTTACGAATACTGCATGAAACCGGGTCTATAGATGATCCGACGGCATAGCTTAGTAACTAGAATGGACCCATAAATAGTGGAAAATAGGGGTAATGAAATACAGAGTCATTTACATCTCCAATTGGCCGGATACAGTACAGATCGTGACAGTTATGAGCCCGGTTCGCACCTATTAGGAATTCATTTGCTATCATCCTTGAAGCTATTCGCAAGCTAAAAGGTCCAAAAAGCATCTAGCAGACTTCCTGACCCCTGAATCCCTTCGATCCCTACCATCTAACCATCTCGTAGGATCCTTGCTTCATCGCTAGAAGTAGTATCCACAATAGAGACGGCGTCAATGCTCTCCGCCCTAAAGGGTGATAAACTGAAAGACTCGTCACAATGGCGAGTATGGCACAAGAGGATAAGGGCATTCGCAATGAATCGGACTGTCTAGGACCTTTGTAACCCTGACACCGATGAAGCCTATCGTCCGAAGGCTCTGAAAGAGCCATAGGAGCCTGAGTATCCGCTGGAAGCGAATACGGAGGCTAAAAAGGACTAGAGAGACCTCTTGGAGGTCTACAAAATTGGTGCCAACCGCTGGGAGAAGTAGCGGAAAGGCCTTAATAAAGTGAATGAGTATATTATCACCTTCGTGGATAGTAGTCTCCGTGACGTAGTCCTCGAATTCGACACCCCGTATGACCGCCTAGTCTATCTAAAGACTAGGTTCGCGCGTACGCCCGCGTTTAAGGAGGAAATTCGGATGTAATGGAGAGCTTTCTCGATAGTAAAACCTACTGGAGATATCGAGAAATGGCTTGCTTTGTGGACCGAGCTAAGGTAGTAAGTAGTTAGTCTCTAGCTTCCTAAAGTCGAAAGCGCTAATTAGGACTTCCTATAAGTAGTTAAAGAGGTCTTACCAATCTGGTGGCAAGCAAAATATCAAGAGATAGTGATGAATAGAGCCTCGTACGACACTTAAGACCTAATCGAATCCTTTAGAGGCCTATATCGGGAAATTGGATAGTCTGATCTATCACCGTAAGCGCTACCGTTAGCGTTAAAGGGGTCTTTCTCCACTTGGCAGGGTTATCAGGAAGTAAGAAATGACTCTAGGAAGCCAAGGGAAGATATACCTTTCGATAAAAGACCTTGCCTATACGGTAACAAGCATCTAAAACATCAATTCACTAACTACTAGGTCGTCAATAAAGCAATTCGACCCGACGGTTACCAGCCAAAGAGGGAAAATCTCTAAAAAATGGAGAAAGCTCTATCGGCCGACCTGGCATGGAGGAAATGGATCAATGAAACCATCGAAAAAACTGTCGAAAAATCGTCAAAAATGCCAGCAAATGCCATCCAATTACACCTAGGAAATACGTCCTTTTTAACCTAGGAAATTGGCTCCGTACTCCATGATCGATAGATCCTCGACACCGGCTCTGGCGTCCATGTCTATAATGAGAAAAGCTGGTTTGACAACCTTAGACCAGTTTAGGAGACTCTCGCGATGGGAGACAATAGTACGGCAGTCATCGGACGAGGGACAGTAAAGCTTACCGGCGCGGACCCGATATCAGGAAAAGAGAAGACAATCACCTTAAGCGACGCTTACTACGCACCTAGGTTCCATATCAACCTAGTATCGTACGCTAGGCTACGAGAAAAGGGTGGTGAATAGGCTAAAGCTAAAGGGTATATCTAGGACCACTAGGGTATCCCTATAGTTAGCTTGCATCTTAGGAAACAGCACGGGTTATAGATCTTTGACTAACCTAATGAAGCTATTTAGAACACTACTAATGTAGTATCCTCGGCACTAAGGTAGGAGAAAGGTTCAATAGAGCTATGGTATCGACGTCTAGCCTATATATAGCCTGCAACTCTCAAGCAAATGCTAAAAATGGTTGAAGGAGTGATTATTAACGCAGAGGAAGTAGCACCTAAGGTATACGAGATATGTAACCTAGGAAGGTCGAATCGATAAGTGTCTAGGAAGCTAATTAGACGAAGCTTTGGCCGATTTAGAAGAGTACACTTCGACCTAATTCAGCTTCCTTATGCCTACAATAGGCATCGATGGATCTCTCATTTTTACGTGGAAGGAATTAGGTTTTAGTGGGTTATGACGTATAAGCTGAAGCCTAAATGTTAGCAAGCCATTACCTAGTTCGTCTAATTAGCCAAAAATTGGTGGAACCTACCGATTAAGGCCTTCCATTATGATAATAAAGCTTCCGTAGGAAGGGTGTCAGAACGGAGTCTAATATCGGACGGGATAGTGGTCTATCATAGTCCACTAGGGCATCTAGAAATGAATGGATACGCTGAGAGAGTAGGGGGTGTCATTATCTTACGGATGAGGATACTGATGCTTAAAGGTAAGCTCCCGAAGGAGCTATGGCCGGAAGTAGCAATAGTAGCAGTCTGGCTACTAAATTAGACGCTAACCTACCTCGCGGAGATGAACCGCTAGGTAGTGCCATAGGATAAGGTTCGTAAGAAATTTACAAGCGATGGCGAAGCTATTCCGAAGGTCAACCTCTCGAACGTGAGGTTATACGGAAGCCTCGCGTACTATCGTATTAAGAAGCAAGTGTAATCGGATAAGATGAACCCTCGCGCGGAGGTCGGTTTCCTAGTTGGCTATCTAGTAGTAAATATCTAGAAAATATGGTTTCCTCAGTATAGAAAGGTCAGGCTTGTTAGGGACGCTATATTCGATGAATCACGTC